AAGCACCTCTTCAGTTATTGCTTGAGCTTCAACCATATCTATTTCCATTATTTGTTGGCATTTGTTTTGATTGTCATGTTGAGTTTCTGTGTTGACATTTTCGTTGCTTGTTGATCCAAAAACTCTTTCAAGCACCTCTTCAGTTATTGCTTGAGCTTCAACCATATCTATTTCCATTATTTGTTGGCATTTGTTTTGATTGTCATGTTGAGTTTCTGTGTTGACATTTTCGTTGCTTGTTGATCCAAAAACTTTTTCCGAAATATCAACAATGAAACGACAGCCCTTGAAGAGTGAATGAGTTTGTAGTAACTCTATACATGTGTGAAGATCTAAATTTTTGCATACAAGCATTCCCTTGCTTATTCCAAGGTTGATAGCAAACCATATCATTGCTTCAAACTTGTGTCTATCCAATTCAATAACTTCAAAGATCTGTTTAATGAAATCTTCAAACCGAATTGCCTCAGGTACCAGAACAAGCTTTGTTTGATGATCAAGATATTTATAGTCTTCAGTCCATCTACCATTAAAAGCAACTATAATGCATATTGTTTCCATCCTGCAAGTCAAGAGAATGGGAAACTCAGGACATATTTTATAATGCAATCCTTGTATAATTAAGAACATGTACTGTAAGTTCAAGACCAAGTTAAGGACCAAGTGTCCTTAACATTTGAACTTGGAATTCAAAGTTAAGGACTGTTTGTCCTTAACTTTTGAACCTGTAATTGAAACTTAAGGACTGTCTGTCCTTAACTTTTGAACCTGCAAGTCAAACATAAGGATTCATGTCCTTAACTTTTCAACCTGTAATCCAAACTTAAGGACTTCATATCCTTAACTTTTGAACCTGCAAGTCAAACTTAAGGACTCCTGTCCTGAATTTTTCAACTTGAAACTCAAACTTCAGGAACTAGTGTCCTTAAAAATCAGGACACTATGTCCTTAATATTATGTGCTCAATTTTTATAGAATTAACCTGTAATTCAAATTTAAGGACTTCCTGTCCTTAACTTTTCAACTTGAAACCCAAAGTTAAGGACCAAGTGTCCTTAACATTTTCAATTTGAAACTCAAATTTCAAGACTTAGTGTCCTTAACTTTTTCAAAATAATTTGCAAAACAATGACAGTACGTCCTTAATATACAGAAGAACAACAACAAAGTTAAGGACATTGTATCCTTAACTTTTTCAATTCAATTTGCAAAATGAGGACACTATGTCCTTAATATTATGTGCTCAATTTTTATAGAATTATCACAGGACGCGATGTCCTTAACTTTATCAATCCAGAAATTCAAAAAAAATCAAATTTCTAATTACTGTATAAAAATCAATAGAAATCGGAAAGAGTATAACTATGTCGAAATAAAAATCAATAGAAAAACATAAAAGTATAACTTACTATAAATCTATGTCGATTTTTGGATGAAAATGTTGAATTTTTTAAATCGGAAGAGAATCTTCTTTAATTTCGACGATCACAGTGTAGTTTTGCGTTGCTGCTGCTGTCGATCATTCTTAAAAGTGTAGGTATAAGTTATAGCAGAAGGGTATTTTCGTCCAGCCAGGTATAAGTTTATTAAACCAGTGGCTAAAGACTAAAGACATTTAAAACACTGGCTTTAAAATAAAAACAGGTGTTGTTAGTGGCTATTTATGCACATCGCCCTTACTTATTGCCGTAAATAAAATCAAAACCCAACAAGTAATACGACAAAACCACCACAAAAAAGAAAGACCAAGTCGCGTGATTTATAAAATAAAGTAAATTAAAATCCTAAGGTTAGTAGGAGTCAAAACTTTTCTAATGCCTTTTTGGGCAAAAAAATACATTTCTACTACTAAAAAAAAGTTACATAAATAACTAAAACGCAGCATAATACTGCATTTTACTTTAACGGAATGTTAGCCGTTAAAGTAAAACGCATTACTATACTGCGTATTATTAAAAAATTATTTTTTTAAGGAAAACGCAGTATAATACTGCGTTTTCCTTAAACGCAGAATTGTACTATGTTTCCCTATTAATATTGGGCCCACCTATATTTAATTAAAGGGAAACGCAGTACAATACTGCATTTAAGGAAAACGCAGTATTATACTGCATTTTCCTTTAATAAAATAAAGCCTTTCTTCTTCCCCAAGACAACGACAGAACGCTATCTCCATTAAAAACACCCCTGCTCCACTGTTGGTCCCTCCCTCTCTCCCCCCGTCAAATTTTTTTAAAAAAAATTGGGCCCCACACTGACCCAAAAAGCAAAGAGTGTAGGTCCCGCACACAAGACAAGCTTTGGATTCCTTCATTCGGGTGCAAAAATTCGATTTGAATCAATTTCAAAAAACTTAAATCGAGGTATTTCGATTTTGTTTATGTCGAAACTCGTATAGTACATGCATATTTGTATTGTTGAATATGTTTTCATGTTAATTTGCGTTATGTTTGTGTTTAAATTTGTATCTTATTTATACCCGAATTGATTTATTAGCTTTGGGACAAAAAATTATTAAAATTTGATAAATATTTTTTATTGTTAATGTTATGTTTTTATTTGCTTAAATAATAAATAAATATTATTTATTTAGTTTGTTGTTCATATTTGTATGTTATGTTTGTTGTTTCTATATGTAATAGTGACCTTTTAGCGTAGTAAAATATAGAGCTTTTTAGCATAGTAAAATATAGAGCCTTTTAGCGTAGTAAAATATAGAGCCTTTTAGCGTAGTAAAATATATAGTCTTTTAGCGTAGTAAAATGTAGAGCCTTTTAGTGTAGAGTCTCTGTAGTTTAAGTATGTAGTAACTGCAAACTCTATCCAATTATACTTTACAAAATTAATTATTTAATTTATAAAAATAATCTTACAAAAGTAAAAAATTAATATATGTTGTCAAATTAACTCAAATATCGAGCCTGGAACTCATAGATAATTACTCAATCCAATTCAATAATTAATTATTTAATTTATTAAATTAACAAAATTGTAAAAATGCTGAAATTGACATGCATAATAAGTAAGGATAACTTGGTGCTACTGGGCGTCAAATATCGAGCCTGGAACCCATACATAATTATTCAGTCCAATTCAATAATTTTTAATTTAATTCCTTAAACTAACAAAATTCCATCGGTAACTAAAATTGACACGCATAATAACTAAGGATAACTTGGTGCTATCCGGCCTCAAATATCGAGCCTGGAACCCATACATAATTATTCAGTCCAATATTAAAAATAATTAATTATTTAATTTATTAAGCTAACGGAATTCTAAAAATGTTGAAATTGACACTCATAATAATTAAGGATAGCTTGGTGCTACCGGGCCTCAAATATCGAGCCTGGAACCCATAGATAATTATTCAGTCCAATTTTAAAAATAATTATTTAATTTATTAAACTAACAAAATTCTAAAAATGCTGAAATTGACACGCATAATAATTAAGGATAACTTGGTGCTACCGGGCCTCAGATATCGAGCCTAGAACCCATACATAATTACTTAGTCCAATTTTAAAAATAATTATTTAATTCCTTAAACTAACAAAATTCTAAAAATGTTGAAATTGACACGCATAATAATTAAGGATAACTTGGTGCTACCGGGCCTCAAATATCGAGCCTGGAACCCATACATAATTACTCAGTCCAATTTTAAAAATAATTATTTAATTTATTAAACTAACACACACAATTAGTTTTCTTTAAATTATAGTAGACGACATGGACTTTCCGCCTGCGCATCCTGGACCAGTCGAGGATCAGCTATTAGTGTTGTAGGGCGATCATAGGTCCTCCTTTGTATGGGAGGGACATCTATCGGATCAGCCTCTATGTGATAGGAGACCTGACGATTTGTGGGACTTCATGGCGCAACATCATTTCCATGCCCGCGTAGTCGCGCGCCTACAGGCTACGGGCTTCTATACGATTTTTCAGATTGGGCGGATGCAGCTTGATTGGTGGCTCGGTGGCGACCGGAGACGCACACTTTTCACTTGCCCACTGGAGAGGCCACCATCACGCTGGAGGATGTTCAGGTTTTGTATGGGCTGCACGTAGATGGACGGGCCGTTGCACTGCCCCAGTACATTAGATCCATGACCCATGGATAGTATTTGGATATGATGGGGCAGTATACTGGTTACAGACCTCAGGGTGACGCTGTACAGAGATGGGGTAGTCGCGTTGCTTTGTCAGTCATCAGAGATCAATGGCGTTTTTGCACCCAGACATTACTGGCGAGACAGAGGATCCCCATATTGAGCGGTACACGAGGTTGGCGTTGCTCCTGCTTTTCGGGGGTGTCTTGTTCCCGAACACTTCAGGAAGTCTAGTGAGTATGCGCTTTCTCCATCATCTGCAGCAGCTAGATGATTTACTCTTGTACAGCTGGGGTGCTGCTGTTTTCGCATACCTGTACAGGAGCATCTTCCGGGCAAGCATGCTTTGCCAGGTGGACATATGTGGTTTTTTGCCCCTTCTACAGGTGACAACATTTTCGAATACTCTGTTCATTACTCCGAATTCTCTATGGTCGAAATGACTCATAAATTTTGCGTCAACCTTTTATCTTAGGTTTGGGCGGCAGCGGATCATGTCGTTGCAGCCACCTCTACCACCACTTGCGCCGGGTGAGGCTTATCCGTTTCTCTCTCTAGCTTCTAGGTGGGTTCTCCGGCGTGGGAACTACTGAGGGACGATGCTCATCATAATCTCCCCCTTGTCAGGGATGTGTTAGATATGCTGGTGGCTGGACAGGTAAATATGTACCTACACTTACTTGTTATAAATTGAGTTGTGTTGCGCATACTCACTTTTATGTTATTATTTGGTAGTTCATCTGGACGCCATACATCGATGAGTTGCTAGCTCAGCTGCCCGATTATTGCTCAGTCGACCGACTACTTTGGAGCACCTCCGTCCCGATGTTCTTCTTCAATATGGTTGAGTATCATGCTACAAAGCGTGTGTTTCGCCAGTTTCACCGTCCCCAGCCTATACCGGGGGAGCCTGCATGGGTCCCTACACACTATCAGCGGGATGACCGTGTTAGGGTGGATGATATATTTATGGGATGGCTAGAGAAACAGGTCCATATTTGGGAGCAGCGAGGTGACCGTATTCCGCCACCACCTTCATTTACCCAGGAGGCTACTATTCATCTGTATACGTCATGGTACCGCCATCACACCCGACATCGAGAACCCCATTCATGTACTTGGCGAGCGCTACAGACCATACACCGGGAGGCACGAGTCACTGGTATGTTTTTGTGGCTTATTAATATCTTATATTTGTGATATAGCATTATTTTTTTAATATCTTAAGTGTTTCACAAGCTATTGGGCATCACCTGGTCTACCAGTTGGGACAGGAGATGTAGCAGCATGCCGATAGTGCTGCACTCGTTGAGTATGGCCGGCGGATGGCAGATCTGGCTCGTCGGACCCTGTTTTAAGCGAGAGATAGCGCGAGGTTGGATCACGAGGCTCAGTATGCGGCGCCAGAGGACTACCATCAAGGTAGGGCTGTCCCATGAGGAAGGGGTAGGGAACGAAGGAGGGGTGCCCCACGAGGCAGGGGTGCCCCATGGGGTCGCGGGGGTCGCGGGGGACGGAGAGGAGGTGGTCCCCATCAAGGGGGCGTTGAGGCACCTGTCGACCCACCTGTTGAGGGACATGATGAGGATTTTGGAGATGAGGATCTTGGAGATGATCAGTTGGGTTATAGACCTCAGGTAGATTAGCCTTCCAGCAGCATGCCGTCGTACAGCCTTCAGCTATCTCTGCCAGCATCGCAGGTCACCCAGTCAGGAGCATTGTCGATCATGGGTACATTCGACGGGGATGTAGACCAGTACTTTGCATGCCC